TAGAGGAAATTTTAGCCTCTTGCACCAACTGACCTTATATTTATTTATAAAGTGTGGTTCTTCCAAGAAGTTCCAGAAGTTTCATGCACATTCTCTCACTTAATCCCTCTCTTCCCATGGGGGGAAGCATTACATTTTTATCTTCCTGCCACAGCCAGTTTCTCTGTTGTTTATTGGGTTTCTCTCTAGACTTTGCTACTTGAAGGTTAGATATTCTCAAGTCAAAAACATTCTTAGCTGAAATCTCAACCAATACTGCTAACAAAAACACACTCATTCATCATACATATATATACTGTTTGCCTCTTGTCTGACACTATTCTAGGCACTAGAGATACAGGAATGAGCAAAACAGACTGTCTCTGACCTCATGGAGTTTACATTCAGTATAATGGCTGTTGTATTACCCAGTAAATTCAAAATTATAAATACACTCTAATCTGATAACAAGAAAACTAATTTCAACTTTATGGGTTTTTTAAATTTAATTTAATTTTTTGGTACCAGGGATTAAACTCAGGGGCACTTAACCACTGAACCATCTCCAGTCCTTTTTTTGTGAGACAGGTTCTCACTGAGTTGCTTAGGGCCTAAGTCATAAAGGCTGGCTTTGAACTCATGGTCCTCCTGCCTCAGCCTTCTGAGCCAGTGGGATTACAGTCATGTGCCATCATGCCTGGCTCTAATTTCAACTTTATAGACTAATGGCCATAGTTTCAAAGATATATGATAATAAAACCTAATAGCATAGGCTTGTAGGAATTGAACTGAAAGATAGGAGACTTATATCCTAATCCTGAGTCTTCTACCATCAGTTTGTATGACCTGACCAAAAATATCATCTCTCTGATGCCAGACAAATGACATAAAAAAATACCAGACAAAAAGATTTCTCATGCCTTCTCTTGGTCTATAATTCTATGGTTAATTAATTGTACATAGGTTATGCCGTGTTAGGACTTACTGCCAAGGTCAAAAGAGGAGAAATTCTTCTGCATCAGTTGCTTTTATGTGTGGGGTGGGATTGAGGGAAACACCACAAAGCAACACTCGCCTCCTAGGAAAACTAATCACTGCAAAAAAATCAATAAAACCAATCAACTCTATACCTATTATGTATTCAATGTGAGACTAGATACTTTGGGGATGGTAGACATGTGAAAAGATCCCTGAACTTAAGAAGCTTCCAAACAAAAATATATGATAGTAAATGGTTAAAAATAAAAGTGTATTATTATAATACAAGGTTCTAAGTTTACAAGAGAGCAAAAAACCAAGAACTACATTAGAATCCTCTGAGGAAAGGCAGCATATCACCTGTATCTCTAACGACCATCACAATAATAATAGCAACTAACATTTATTGAGTGCTTGACATATGCCATATTTGAATTAAGTGATTTATGGGATTTCTTATTTAATCCTCAAAACAACCCTAGAAATAAACAAACTATTTTTCCTGTTACAGATGGAGAAAACTAGACTTCCAGGGAAGTCTAAGGTACCAAATGGTACAGCCAGGCAAGCAACCCCAGAGTTCTTAACTTCATTTAATGGTTATGGACAGCTTTCCCACATATGAGATAAAGGGATAGCACCGTACATGGCACATAGTTTAGTGTTTCAAAATTTTGCTTTCTTCCTTCTATATCCTCTATCCTTCGCCACTACTTGCTCCCAACCCCTATTCCTCATTCACATCCATGTACTTCCTTTTCCAACTTTAAACATTCTGCAAAGTTCAGTTGAAGATCTACCCTGTGCAAGAAGTGCTTCTAGACCAACTGAGCTTCTGTCCCCTTATTTACTTCAAACATCTACTTCAAATATCCTGTGAGGTAATCATGTGCTCTCTTATGATGTCACGTCACTACTTAATGTCCTTTGATATTAATCTTACTGATGTCTTACGGCATTTTATCATGAAACTTATATTATTACTATGTATATCTTGCATTATTGAGCTTTGCTATGGTTTGAATATGTGGAGTCCCTAACAGCTCATGTGTGAGACCAATGCAAGAATATTCAGAGGTGAGATGAGTAGATTCTGAGAGCTGCAACTCATAAATGGCTTAATCCACTGATAGGAATTAACTGGGCAGGCAGGGTGTGGTTGGAGAAGGTAGGTCTCTGGGGCTGTGTCTTTGGGTTATATATTTTGTTTCTGGTGAGTGGAGCACGCTATGCTTTCTGACTGCCATATCCTGAGCTATTTTCCTCTTCCACACTCTCCCACCATGATGTTCTGCCTCACCTTAGGCCTACAACTATGGAGTCAGCCAACCACATACTGAATCTCTGAAACCATGAGCCAAAATAAATGTTTCCTCCTCTAATTGTTCTTGTCAGCTCTTTTTGGTTACAGTGACAAAAATGCTGACTAAAACAAGCTTCATATAATTTAACTGTGTCAACTAACTCCAGACTCTTTTGTGTTGCTCCTGGAGTCCTGGCATAGAAGGTATCCGGAAGCATTCACCACTGCAAGAGTTTGAGTGTTTGTGAAGTTTTCATTCATTAGAAAAATGATCCAAGCCCAGCAAATGCATCTCTTTTAGGTTGAATCCACCTTGTGTATTATGGCATTTTATCATGAAACTTATATTATTACTATGTATATCTTGCATTATTGAGCTTCATTTAATGGTTATGGATGGCTTTTCCACATATGAGATAAAGGGATAGCACAGTACATGGCACATAGTTTAGTGTTTCAAAATTTTACTTCCTTCCTTCTAAATCCTCTATCCTTCACTGCCACTCTTTCTGTTTGTGCACAATTTTGGACTAAAAAAAAAAGAAAAGAAAGAAAGAAGGAAAAGGTCAAAAAAAAAAGGAAAAAGAAGAAGGAAAAAAGAAGGAAAAGTCAACTCTTACAAATATAAAACAATAGGCAGCTCCAGCCCATAGATTTATTTTTAATCTTACAAATGTATTATGAGATATTTTATACAAAGGAGTAAACATATGTGTGTGTGCATACATACACACACACACACATATATATATATAAACTGTATACATGTATGTGTTTGTGTGTGAATGTGTATATATATATATATATATATACACATATATATATATATTTTAAACCCAAATGTATGTTCTGTAACCACTATCCACCTTAAGAAATAAAACATGAAGTAGTATTAGCAAATCTTGTACATCACCTAAATTGTTGTCTAAAGCAATTAGCAAGCTGATATCAGGTCATAAAACTTCAAAATGATCAGGAGTTTTTGAAGACTGAAAAAAGTCATGAGTATGAAGGGATTTATGTATTAAGATTAGGAGGAGATTAGACAAATCTAGTCCCAATGATAATGTCAAACACAATATGCACAATTACCATTAAAGGGGGAGCTAATTTTTTTCATTAAAGTATTGTGGTATAAAGTAACTCTATGGTCTGAAAGAGTTAAAATTTTAAATATCAATTTTAAATCTTAACTAATTTTAACTATTCTATTTCTATAAACTAGTAGCTTTCATAATATAATATATTGTTATGAAAGCTAATCTACATCTTCCAATCTACCTGTCCTGTAATAACATAAAAGTTCTTTGTGGAGCATGGGATCTAAATGTTGGTTTAGAAAAATAAATTACCCTAGCTACATATTTATTTTTAAAGGATCAGTTTACAAGTCCAGAAGATCCTAACTCTCATATCTGTAGAACTATTGATTCTGAAGGTAACTCTAAACTTTCAAGTAGCTAACACAGAAAGAAACATACCAATACTAAGATTCACAGTGTCTATGAAGAGAAACTAAACTTATCACATGGGAGAAGCCCAATTATTCCTGATACTAACAAATGAGATACATTTCTCTAGAAAATCATCACAGAGATTATAAGAACATTGGCAACATCTTCTATGGTTTGAATGTTGATATCCCCTAAAATTCATTTGTTGGAATCCAATACTCATTGTGATGGTATTAAGAGTTAGGATCTTTGAGAAGTGGTTAGATCAGAAGGGATCCAACCTCACAAATGGAATTAATATCCCTATGAAAGAGACTCCAGAGAGTTCCCTTAACCCTTCTGCCATGTGAAGATGCAGTAACAAGGCACCATTTACAAAGTAGAGAACCCTCACTGAACATCTCATCTGCTAGCTCCTTAATCTTGAACTTCTCAGCCTCCAAAACTGTGAGCAATAAAGTTGCATTGTTTATAAGCTACTTAATCTAAGGTAGTTTGTCATGGTAGCCACCCCAAAACCAAGACAGCATTCTTCCTTATTGTAAGTACAACAAGGTGTTTCAATAAGGTACACTACAAGGTATTTCAATGGATCCCTTATCACAAATATGCTGTAGGCCTCAGATCAAAACATAATTTCACAGACATGAATCTATGTCTTCTGTCTTAGTCTGTTTTTGGTTGCTATAACAGAATACCTAAGACTGGATGATTTATAAAGAAAAGATGTCTATTCAGACTCACAGTTCTAGAGGCAGGGGAATTCAAGATTGAGTAGCCACTTCTGGTAAAGTCCTTGGGGTGCTTCATAACATGTCAGAAATTGAAAGGGGTACTGGGCACATGCAGAAGAAGCAAAACACAAGGGTCAGTCTCACTTTACAACAACCCACTATTGGGGTAACTAATCCTTTGAGAAAGGCCTTAATTCCTCTTAATGACCTAATCACCTCTTAAGAGCCCCACCTTCCAACACCCTTACAAAGGCAATCAAATTTCAACCTGAGTTTCAGAAGGAAAAAGCCATAACATCCTTTGAAATGATGTTTTTGAGAAATGACTCAACACCTTTTCTAGGTACAAGCTTTATAATTGTGTAAAGGTAAACATCTGGACTTTTCGAACTGAGAATTTTCCATCCTTAAGAATTCCAATGTTTTGGATTAACCTGCTCTCTGTAACTAACTTGCTGGTCCTAAATACCATATACTTAACCTATATTTTATGAAATGCTAGCAAAATTTAGACAGAGTTCCTTTTCTTTTTTTCTTTTTTCTTTCATGTAGGTGCCCAAGAAAGTAAGAAAAAGTGTCATCTCTGGAATTGTGCTTGGAATATGCAACAGACATGTCAGAGTAAGCACAGAATCACATGTGGATGTGCATTTGTTGCATATGAATATAGGAGAAATTCCACTTAAAAAATAAATACCCTAAGACTTCCCAGAGAAACTCTGAAGTGTCTATTTGCTTTATGAATTATTTCTTCTGGATAATTTATTTCACAATAGTCCATTGATTACTACATTAAGGCAAAGAAAATTTAAAGTGGAATTATTGGGCGATATAATTCTCTAATAATATATTTCCAAGGGGGGGGAAGGCATTGAAATTATTACTAAAATCTAGAGAAAACTAAGAAATATAAGCAAAAATATGTGCTACGTTCAAAAGTATATAGTAAGGCTGTGCTGTCAAAGTCACCTTGAATCTTTCTCTTACTGGGTTTTGTTTGCTTTTGATTTCCCCACAGGATAAAGAAGAAAACCACTAGAGTTTCTCTGACCATCAGTTCTCCAGTTAATGAAAACTCCAACATCAGATCAAGTTATTCTACGTTAGTTCAACCATTGTGTATTGACCCCCAGAGGGTAGGTTTCATTAAAATGAAACCTTCTGAGAGGGTACCAGTAATGGAGGCCAAGGTTAAGAAAAAAAGTTGATACAACTTTCTTTAAAAGCATGCACAAGAACAGCTCCATCTACACAACCTCAGAAGGAACAGGAAAGGCAACTAATGGGTGTCAGGAATAACTCTAGAGGAGCTCTATGACTTGGCCATTTGTCTGTGTGCCAGACCAGAGCAACAGTTCCCTAACAGAGCATTCCAATAATCCAAGGAATGAATTCCCTTTTAATTAAAAAAAAAAAAAAAAGGAGGGAGATGCCTTTTTAAAAAACTGACCAGAGCAACTGTATGAAGGGAGAAAAAAAATTTAGTCAGTAATATTTAGAAGTTATTTAAACCTTTAACATGCAGTCTCTAAGTGCGTGCCAATAACCATTTCTCAAAGGCAAATTGTCCAGTGTTCTATTTCATCATCTCCGCTGATGGAATGCTGGAAGAAAAAGAAGAAAGGGTGGCGTCAGAGCAGACATCCAAACTGACATTTAAATTAGAAGTCTCATCCTTTCCAAAAAGGAAACTCAGGGTAGGGTGGGTAGTGGCTAAAACTGGACTAGTTCATAGTAACTAGAATGAATGCAGTTAGTTTATGGCCACTAAGTACTTGGGTTTGGGGGCCTTGATAAAATGGATGATGGCATCATGTTCTCTTTTATTCTCCAACACAGATGCAGAGCCCCTGCAGTAGCCTGTCAGGATCCATTTGTGTGGTGGCCCCTGTGTTCACCAAGGTAACCTATCCGTACTGCATGACAGAATTTGGATTTTATAGATAAATGGTAGACTTTATTGAAAGAGTAAGAAGAAGAAAAGAGAAACCAGAAGAGACTCCAGATATTATTATTATTTCATATAGGAGAAAACTGAGGCTAGGAAAGAGTAAAAAGATTGGCTCGATGTTTCAGATCAACGCTTGGTTTATCCCATGCTCTTTAGTCTTTTGCTCTGTGTCAATCCTCTAGCTCTGGAGAACAATGCTTAGACCATCCTTTCTAAGGAGTCTATGCTCTGCCAGACTTCAAGATACAGTCAAATTCTCCCAGTGATTCATAAGATGCCCTTCTGATAGAGTCAACCAGCAAGGTAGTAGCTACTTGCTGCTAAGATCATGGTCAGAGGCCACTATTTCCCCAGCCATCCACTGAAAACATCTGAATTCAATCACATAAGTTAAAACAAAACTAGACCTGAGCCTTCTCTGGTCAGTTTCCTAGTTATGAAATCTAACAGAACCGGAACCACTGCCCACTGCTGGCCCAAAGCATGAAAAACAGGGCCAGGATTTAACCCGCATTTCCTCCTCCGAGGCACACATCTGTCAGCAGGTGTCAAGATTAGGCTGTCTTTAGGTCTCATGTAGGTCTGACCTGACAGAGGATCTAGATACATCCTTCTCTGGCCTCAGAACCAAGTTATAATCTGGAATGTAACTCTGGGTTTTAGAGAACCTTGGGGTTGCAGGTAGGGAAGGAAGAGGGATCCGGATTTAAGATGTAGGTTTACCGCCAACACCACTCACTCGCTCATTTGTGCATCATGAGACTGAACTAGCTATGGTTGATAAACACGTCTTATATATCAATATAACTTTTAGGCCTCGCAGAAAGTTTTTAGATTATTTATATGAAATGAGCCTCAAATCCTCCAGGTAGGATGTGCATTTTGCTAGCCCTGTTTCACAAAGAACCTGAGTTCCACAGAGGCTGAGTCTTTTCTACATTCCTAGAACCAGCTTCCACCAGCCAGTGACAGTTGAGATTCTGGCCCAGGTCCTGTAAATCATGATTCAGGGGCTTTCACAAACAACAATATTGTCCATACTACCATAAACAAAATAATAAAGACCAAATCCGTGACTAGATACGTACTCCACAAAATAATCAAATTCATCACAACAAAGGCGTTTCCACTAATCTCTTTTCTAATTTGAAAAAATGGCTCTGAGGGAAGCCAACAACAAATTTTTTTTTATTGTACACTATGAAGTTAAGATGAAAATAACTTACACTTGACTGTAAAATATAAGGTCCCAAACAATGCCCAGCCGCTCCTCGTTTTGCTTAACATGCAGTCAGTGCTCAACAGTCACAGGTGCCAAAGTGTGCACAGGTCCTGCAGGTGGCACATGGTACAGGAGCTTCTTCCTTTCAGCGAACTCTGTTTCTGTTCTTCAGCATCTTCAAGACATCTCTACAACCAGAGGTCAGATTGTCGTGTTTGAATGCCGAGTGCAGGCCACGGCTTCAGTTCAAGTTCACTGGTACAGAGAGGAAGAGCAGATTGCCAGCTCAGATGACTTCCGGATTCTGAGGAAAAGTATCATGACAAACTTTTCAGTTGCACTTACTTAACCTTGAAATCAAATTCATGTTTTGAAGTAGTTCAATAGCTGATGTGTTACAGGCGAAATGATTTCTACTGTTAAATAATTGTTTTTTCAAATCCCGATAATTCCTCATCAAAAACAACTTGGGGGATAGAGCTCACTTGGTAGTGTTCTTGCCTGGCACACACAAGGCCCTGGGGTCAGTCCCCAGCAACACACACACACACACACACA